ATTAGAACAGATAATGGGGGAGTGTATTTGGGTCTATTTGATGAATATTGTAGACAACACGGCATTCGACATCAAAAGACACCACCCAAGACTCCACAGTTGAATAGGTTAGCTAAAAGGATGAACAGAACACTAGTTGAGGGGGTGAGATGCTTGCTTTCACAGGCGCAGTTATTAGGTTATTTTTGGGGTGAAGCTTTGAAATAGTTGTACATGTTCTTAATCTCACACCTTTTGTCCCTCTTCAGTCTGATGTACCAAAGAGAGTTTGGAGTGGCAAAGATGTTTCTTATGATCACTTACATGTTTTTGGATGTAAGACATTTGTGCATATTCCCAAAGATGAGAGGTCTATGCTTGATATAAAGACTAGATAGTGCATCTTTATAGGTTATGTTCTTGATGAATTTGGCTATAGGCTATATGATCCAGTTGATTAGAAACTAATAAGCAGTCGTGATTGTTGTGTTTATGGAAGATCAAACTATACAAGATGTTTAAAAAGTAAAGAAAGTAGTGTCTTAAGTAAAGAAAGTAGTGTCTTAGTATAGTGATGGTTTGATTGACTTGGACCTAGTGCCTTTCACGAATTTGCCAACAAATGTTGAACATGATGTTCAAGATGACCATCAAGATTTAAATGATGCAGATGCTTCTATGCAGGTTCAGATAGATTATCAGACTACTGATCAGCTTCTAGAACCAGAAATTCCACTCAGGAGGTCTATTAGAGACCGATGTCTTTTCACACGGTATTCTAAAAATGAGTATGTATTATTGACTGCCAAGGGAGAGCCTCAGTGTTATACAGAAGCAATGGAAGACAAAAACAAAGCAAATTGTGTTGATGCTATGGAAGATGAGATGCAGTCATTGCATGACAATCACACCTTTGAGATGGTAAAGTTGCCTAAGGGTAAGACAATTTTGAAAAACAAGTGAGTCTACAAGGCAAAGTAAGAAAGACATACTTCACAGCCACGGTGCAAAGCCAGATTAGTTGTCAAGGGATTCAATCAGAGAAAAGGAATTGACTTTGATGATATTTTCTCTCATGTTGTGAAATCATCTTCCATATGTGTGGTTTTAGGCTTGGCGACTAGCCTGGACTTAGAAGTTGTGCAGATGGATGTGAAAACTGAATTTCTTCATGGTGATTTGGAGGAAAAAAATTACATGGAACAACTAGAGGGTTTCCAAGTTAAAGGAAAAGAAGATTATGTCGGTCGTTTAAAGAAAAGCCTCTACGGTTTGAAGCAAGCACCCCGACAATGGTATAATAAGTTCAAGTCAGTTATGAGGGAGCATGGTTAAAGAAGACTAGTTTTGATCATTGTGTATTTGTGCAGAAATTCTCTAATAACGATTGTATTATTTTATTGCTTTATATTGATGACATGTTGATATTTGGCAAGAATTCTTCTAGGATTGGTGATTTGAAGAAGCAGTTGAGTAAGTCATTGGCTATGAAGGATTTAGGGCCAACAAAACAAATTCTTGGCATTCAAATTTGTTGAAACAGAAAAGAGAAGAAATTGTATATGTCACATGAGCAATATATTGAAAAAGTGCTTCAAAGGTTGAACATGGGTAAGGCCAAAGCGGTGAGTTCTCCCCTAGCTACTCATTTTAAGCTAAGTGCAAAGCAAGGTCTTTCTACATATAGTCAGAAGAAGGAAATAGAAAGAGTCCCTTACGCTTCAACTGTAGGAAGCTTGATGTGTGCAATGGTGTATATGAGACCAGATATATCTTTTGTAGTTGTGGCTGTTAGCATATTTTTGTCAAATCCGGGGAAAGAGCATTGGGCTGCAATGAAGTGGACTATAAGGTATCTACGAGACACTTCCAAGTTAAAATTTTGTTTTGGAAGTGATAAACCAGTTTTGGTTGACTCCACAAATGTTGACTTGGCCGGGGACATGGATACTCGTAAGTCTACTTCTGGTTATCTAATTACTTTTGCTGGTGGAGTAGTTTCTTGGCAGTCTAGATGGCAAAAGTGTGTTACACTTTCTACGGCAGAAGCATAATTTATTGCTATAACAGAAGCTTGCAAGGAGTTGCTGTGGATGAAAAAGTTCATGAGAGAGCTTGGTTTTAAACAACAATGGTATGTTTTGTTTTGTGACAACCAAACTGCTATTCATCTTGTGAAGAATTCTAAATTCCATTTGAGATCTAAGCATTTTGATGTAAGGTATCATTGGATAAGGGATACTCTTCACGATAGCCTATTTGAACTTAAGAAGATCCATACATATGACAATGGCTCGAATATGTTGACAAAGGCTTTAGCAAGGGAGAAGCATGAAGTTAGTCGAGCTATTGCCGATATGGTCCATTTCCCCACATAGTCGAGAAAGGAGGAGATTTTTTGGGCCTGGGTTTCCCTCATGTGGAGGATGGCCCAAAATCCTAAAGCACAAAAATAGAAAAAAAAAAAAAAACAAAACAAAAGCAGCTTATATTAGTTGATTATGGAGTGGGTGAACAGAAAAATAGGGTACTTACAGTTCACAGATTAAAAATCTATAGAAGTGAGAGAGAGGTAGCCACACCAAGTTATTCCAATGACTATCCATCGGTGAATCTTGCTTCGTTTTTGCTCAAATTTCATAGCGTTGTTGTTGACGATAAAATCTTCGCATCCAACGGTCAATTTCGTGATAGCCATCTTTTTTGTAGAGTTTTGCCTCTAGAAAGACAGTCAAATCAAAAAGTTGAGTTGCAGAATTTTTAGTCCATTTGTTCTTCGTCAGCCTGACAATTGGAAGGTCATCTCTAGTTTGATCAACCTGATTTTTTTCAAAACGCAGAGGACGTTTGGTTCTTCAATCTAGACAATTCGTTTTCGATTTTAACGGCTGAGTTTGGAGTTATACAGCCTGCATTTCGGGTGCTTTGCTGATGATTTTACTCTATCTTTTTGTACCTCTATTGTGTATTTCACTTTATTAGACTTGTGATAAAACTTTAAATTAATGTGCAATATTATTGGCGGATTGTGTCTGTTGTAAATACTTTTTATTATAATAGATTTAAGTAGATCATACGATTCCATGGTTTTTTATTATCTTCACATTGAAGAGGTTTTTTCACGTAAAATTGCTTGTGTATCTTGTGAATTTGATTGTTGTTTTGAGGCATATTTGCTCAAGGTTTTGCTCCTCACAGATACATTCAAGTAAGAAATACTTTGTTAGTATATTATTTCTTTTCAAAATGGCAGGAAGAAAATCTAGATTTCTCCACCCAATTTAAACTACTCACTATCAAGTTGTCTACCATTATCGCACACTATGGTGTGGGGTATGCCAAAGCGACACACCACTACCCTTTAAATAAAGCTGGTTGTCTTACTTTCTGTTATTATATTTAGAGTTTCAGCCTCAACCCACTTTGTTTAATAATCAATTGCTAGATCGCGTATTTGGCCTGCCCTTTCCCCATAGGCATGAGACCAATCAGGTTTATACCCTACTTGGCTAAGGGCCAAGGTGAAGTCATTGGTATGAGTTGAGTGGCTAGCAATCTCGAAGTTTTAGCGGTTCTTTGATACCCCTCGCACTTGCGTGTGTACTCCTTTACATCTTCATGTATTGAAGGCCAATAATACCCTTGCTTGAATACTTTGTGCGCCAGTGATTTGGCTCCTGCATGATTTCCATAAACACCTCGTGTATTTCCTTCATAATATACCCAAGATAGTTTTATGAACTCCAACATCCAATGACCGTTCCTATTCTAATGTTGGCGTGTGACGTTGAGTCCAATGCCTATACATAGACCTTGCTCTAGTCCAATGCTTCAACCCCTCCTGGACTCTCGGTTCTCCTAATTTAGTAGTGATTTTACCCTTATGTAGTTATATTACCCACCAACACATCATTAATTGGAGTTTATCTACTCAACTAAAATAATTAATAACGAATTGCCCGAGCTTTGGATAAAAAAGCAAAAATCTACAAGGAAACCTCATTTATTTGTTTGATTATTATAAAAGAATTCTACATGCTTTATTTGAAGGAAATAAGTACACAATAAAAAGTATGCGTATATGTAAAAGCTATATTTGGTTGAGAAAAACTGGGCCAAGAAAGTAGGCTCAAGCTTAAACGACGTCTGTCTGTTGGGATTAGCCAAGATGAAAGTTGATTTTGGAGGAAGCCCATAAAGCCCCAATAAAGGAAGGTAGCCCAAAGGAAAATAACTTAGCATATATGTTTTGTGATGGCGAGGGTGAATAAGCTTGTAAAGAAAAGCACAGAAAACATAAGAGTGGCACTGTAATATGTAACTTTTCAAAAACTTTTCTCTTAAGGGTGCCTATAAAAGTAAGAGATCATAGGTAATTTACTGCAAACAATTCTTTCTCACAAATTTTCTTTCATAACCCTGACGTGCCAACTCGCAATTGATTAGCTTACAATTAATTAATTAGACCCATGTAGAACCCATGTGAGACTCGTTGTGAACTGATCAATTACGAACTGTCACAACAAAGTTGTGAGAGAAAATTTGTGAGAAAATGTTATTAGTATAATATTATGATATTATCCTTTACGCATTCATTAACTATCTAGAATTTGTATGGTAATAGTCCAAAAGATCTTCTCTCAAATATTTCCTTACAACCAAACACTCATTTTCGCTACTTAGAATACTAGGACATCTTAATCAAATTGAAGATTCTTTCAGTCTTCAATATAGATCCTATCCTCTTTTAATTTCACCTCAATTACATAAATGTGAGACCAGGAATTATTCCCTTTTTTTCCTATTTAATCTTCATCAACCTTATGCACGCTAATATAGTTCATGAAGAGGAAAAGAGGGCTAATACCACTGCCGAATGGGAGAGCGTTGGGCGCGGCGCAGGATGAGTCTGCAACAATAGAGCAAAGAGAGGGTCGGACTTCAATCAATAAACTGTAGAGCTAGAAAAATAAAATATCATCTCTATATATTTTTTTTCCTTCTAAAAGAAGGGAGGGATCGTAATCACATTATAGGGCAGAGAAGCACTACCCTCAAGTAGTACGAGTTAAATTATATTAATTATAGAAAGATCAGACCCACTGTATTAAATATTACGAGCCAAGTATGTCAAAATATGTTAAATAGGCTACTAATCGGCAAGTAATCTTGCACGGTCTTTTTGCCCATCGTGGCACGATTCCATATATTACAAGGGTGGTTTTGTAGCAACATAATTCGAAGATACAAATCATTTCTAAAAACCCTACGCAATCCCCTTCTTTGAAATTCGATACTGATAAGCAATTTGTCTTCTCCATTCATGAATAGGAACCTATTGAGCAATCCATACAAAGGGTTTACCAATTACTATCATGATAGCTGCCACAAAAATCAGTTGATACACTAAATCTTTAAATTTAACAACATATCAAACCCAGATCAATTCAAAAGCATAAAAATAAATCCTTACAGCAGGGAAGCCACCATAATCACCAGGCTGTGTGATGTCCTTGGTGACACAGCTATTAGCAGCAAGCCGAACCTGCAATCCCATATCATTGGACATTATTTTCAATGTGAATATTTTAGCTCTTCAATCAATTATAGCAGATGGAAAATTAGTACAAGACCTATTTTTGTACAATTAAAACTACATGACAATTGTGTACTGCAATCAGAAAGTTAAATTGAAACAAACATTTAAGTTGACTCCAAGAAGAAAAAGTTCTATATATTCACTTTGAACTAGAGGTGAGCCAAAATTTCAGGTGGACCTAGAATTGCAGCGTACCCGATGTTCCGGTTCCAGTTCCCACCCAGAACCGACACTGTGTAGGTAGATTCTAGCTCCCAAATTTAAGGAACCGGTATTGTATGGTTCCGATTTCGGTTCCACAACTTCAAGGAACCAAAACCAACCCAAGAACCAGAACCAAAACCGAAAACAGGGTACTCGATTTGGAACCGTTTTAAGAATCCACTTGGGGATAGGTGCAGGCTTGTGCAAGAGTAGACGTGTGTTGCAGCAGTTGCATGTGGAGCTGGGTGTAGTTGGCTGAGAACTTTTGTAGGGCAGGTGGTGTGCAGTGGGCAAACAACACTTCAATTCCAACAGGTGGGAGCAGTGTAAACCCAGATAACACCAACTCAAATTCAACCAATCGAACTCCAAATCAATCTAGACAACAACTCCCTCAATCAAACAACAATCAAACCAAACCAAATACTTCCAACTATCAACAGTCATGGGCAGGCGATGGTGAACGTGCAAGGCTGGCGCATGCAAGGATCACACATGCACCGTGAAGTGTGCGGCAACAACAGGAGGAGGTGAGTGTAGGAGGAAAGGGACGGTGGCAAGAGGCTGATGAGTTGAATTGCAGGCTTGGAGTTGAGCAAGGGTCAATCGCGTGACTTCAACTGTCACGCAATTATCAGGCTAGGGTGGCGACGGTGATTGTGAATGAAGCTGGAAGGGAGGTTGTGGAGTGAGATCGAAGACGCGATGATGGGAGATGGTGGCAGTGGTGGGCGGTGGTGGGCAGTCGCGCGAGCCTAGAGAGAGCTGCACAAACGGTGCAAATTGGCAATGACAGGTGGCAGCACAACTCAAGCAGAGCTGGGGTTTGCTGGGATAGTGACCAAGAACCAGGATCCGACAATTGGTCACCAGAAATGGCCAGCAACGGCATCGGCAGTGACAAGGAGTTGAGAGAAAATTTGAGAGAAAAATATTTGTAATTTTAATTTTGTGAACAATACAGGGTACTCGGAACCGAAACTTACCTGATAGGTTCTGGTTCCAATTCCTAAGATTTAGGAACCACATAATACCAGTTTCGGTTCCTAAATCTCAGGAACGGTACTATGCGATTCTGGCTCTGGTTCATGAGATTTGAGTCAGGTACACAGACCCGCTCACCCTTACTTTTAACAACTGCTAATAGAATATTATTAGCCTAAACTGTGAAGCACAGCAAGAAACATACTCCAATGCATGATTAGCTTGACAAACAGAGTTTGTAGTCCATAACCTCACTATCCTTTCACTTCATCAAGTACATACCTTTGTTGCAATAGAGACGTGATCACGAACAGCTACTCTTCCCCCCAAAGTTACAAAGTCTCCAATCCTGAAGCAGGACAAATGATACAGTCATAGCTATCAAGAACTTTTGTAGCCCATGAAGTTCTCAAATGACCATTGTATCAATTACATGATAAATCAAAGGCCCAAAGAATTGATATAGAAAAAGAAGAAGGCAAAAAGAGAATAATATACGTTACTGAACCTGCAATCCCAGTTTGTCCACAAAGCATGCAACTCTTCCCAATAATTACATTATGACCAATCTGCAAAGCCGAGATTTGGTTTTTGTATAATGCCAAATAAGTTTTTATCTCTATTTATGTTTCCTCTTGAAACCGCAGAAAGTTGTTAATTGACAAATGACAAGGCAAAAGAATAGAACTTGCCTGAACTAAATTATCTATCTTTGAATAATCCCCTATCACTGTATCTCTCCAACTGCAAAACCAAATAGGCAGTAACTCAGAATTAATTTGAGTTTAAGAATATATACATATGCACATTACAAAATCCTTGATATTTAAAGCCAACACATGTCTCACCTGCCCCTGTCAATGCACGTATTTGCACCGATCTCCACATGGTTTCCTATCCTAGCATTCAGCATCTGACAAAGTGACATACATATACTATAATTCTTCAATTGCAGATACAAAACTGAACAAGATACCAGAGATACCTACTTAGCTTTTCATCAAAAGGGTAAGATATATGAGGAGATGCATGTATAGCAATAATACCAAGTTATAATATTTTTACAAACAAAATTCTGTTTTTTTTTTTTTTTTTTCAGTAAAACGGGTGTATGTATGCATGCCAACCAATTACGCGGGTCAAGTCAGTGAGTTTGGCTTGGTGCCGTGATTGCCCACTGAAGACTCTCTTCCATAAAATATGTTTACTTTCAAGTTCTAAATTTTTGTTGGACAGTCTCAAGAATATCTCAAAAGGATAAACTACAAGGACTAAAAAAAAATAAAAAAATAAAAAAAAAATAATAAAACCAACTATATATCACCAACTTGAGGCTTCTTCAACATGTTGCCATTCTCGTCAACAAAAAATCCAAACCCTGTAAAGTAAACAAGGGTATAACAGCCTATCTTAGAAACATTTACGCTTGCAACTGATTTAACCTTTAAGCACAAAAAATATAATAAATCTAACGACCAAATTTTGAAATAATCAAGGCTTACCATCTTGACCAATGCACACCCCATTGTGAATTAAACATGAATCACCTATAATGCAATTACTGAGAGCAACATTATATCTGTTGAAATATAAATATAGTTGTAGTTACAATCGAAATTAAAAAAAAAAAAAAAAAAAAAAAAGTAAATATAAATTAAGTTAACAATTATACCCTATATTCGTGGATTGACCGATAGTAACTGCAGGTCCAACAACAGCTCCTGATCCAATACGAACGTTGGCACCCAGCACAGCATCTGGATGAACCATTGCTCCAATTTCAATCAGCGCCGTTGAATCGATGGAAGCTGAGTGGTGGAAGGTCCCACCTCCGTTGTGCCATTTTTTAAAATCTAGATGACTTTCTACCCCTAAAAGATGCAAAGGCATGTGCCAAAAATCTTTTAGACATTTTCACAAACACTTGGCAGCAAAAGATGAATGCTCCAGAGCATGTTAATCATGACTTACTGACTTACCAGATTTAGCCGAAAATTTACAAATACTACCATAGTCTTGCTTACGTTTATTCTTGGAGTAGAAAACGGCAAATCTTCTAAGGTAAACAACCATGACTACTTAAATTAACAAAGCTATTTTAAGGAAATGTCGAAAGAGACTCTACCAGTAAGAACGATGGAGGTAATAAAAAGTAGCACAACTGTTGTTACAGTTGAATATTAGCGAAATTTTCTCCTATCGTTCGCTCGTATACCAATTTGTCTTTGTACAATACTCGCGTTAAAATTACAAAAATACTAAGGACCGGTTCGTTTATATTTTTAACTCATCATTTTTGTTTTTTAGACATGGAAAATCATGAAAATAAGTGTTTGTTTGAGATAGAATTTAAATAGTTTTTTTTTTTTTTTTTGAAAATAAAACAATTGTCACATATAATTCTAAAATTTAATGAAAATTAGAACATTAAAATAAATTTTTATATCAAACACATTTTTAAATATTAAAATACAACTCAAAAATTTGAATTGTATTTTAATTTTGATAATTTATTCTTTCATTTATTTCATATTTTATCATCTCTCTCCTAAAACAACAAATTTCATTTTAAATTAATATTTTTAATTCAGAATTATAAATGGAAATGAACTATTGACATATTTTAGACAAACTTATCAAGATTAATAGAATAAATATCATTTTGAAAATGTTTTATCAGTTGTGTAGGTGATAAAATTCATATTTTTTATTTTTTATTTTTTTGTTTTCGAACAAACCTATTCAAACACATTTTTGTTTATATATATAAATTTTTCTATCATTTTCAATATTCAAACAAAACACCATAAAACAAAAACACAAAATTCATAAAAAAAAACACACCCTAAAAGTTTTGTAATTTTAATGGCCAAAAATCACTCACCTCAACTTTATTAGAAATCACACTCATAAATTAATTGTTGCCTTGTTTTACAAACTGGGTTTTGGAGATGGACTTGGAATCGAGTGAAGAGGCGAGTTGGTGGCTGAGTGGGTTTGGGTTTCTTCTTTGGTTGACCAATGATGAGTGAGATGACATTGGTAGGATTGTTAAAGGGATCCAATCCCAGCTATACACAGCTTTTTTGGAGATAAATTTCTATGCCTTGCATTCATTCATACTCCTTTTTATAGACTCTAATACAACTGACTCAACTACTCCCACTTTGCCCACTACACGGACGTGGGCTGCTTACTAAAGACTAGGAATTAAACTGCAACTACACCCAATTTGTCTACTACATAGACGTGGGTTACTTGCTAAAAACTAGGACTTGAACAGGGAAAATACAAAAGACTCATGCATAAAATAAGGCACTACCACATGACTAACACCATCCTAACAAATTGGTTCGTAACACCTTTTTAATCATACTAGCCCCAAAACTAATTGAAAAATCGTTAATCCCCATCCCAAAGGCAACGTTGTCAACGTTCTGTGTTGGAAAGAGCAATATTGTCATTTGATACTTCTAATTTAAATAAATCCTAACACCTTTAATTATAAATCTCAAAGTTAATCATAAATTGTAGGTCTATAAATTATAAATTAAAAGACAGTAAACTTAACGCCGTAAGTCTTCTTATTTCAAAATTTGAAGAAATAGGCCCACACGTTGGAAGAAGAATGGTCAAAGGCGGCATGGTTGCCTCGCCAAAGGCTTGGCAAGTCGTGGTTGAACCACAACCTATGGCTTGGTTTGGCACGGTGGGACTAACACAACATCTAGCCAGGCTCGACAACCTAGTTACTTGCCAAGTCCAGGAGCGACCGTCTCATCTTGCTTCGGTCAGTTGTGGATTATTTTTTAGGTTTTTCTTTATTATTTTGTCTTAAAAATGGCTTGTATAATTTTGTATTATGTGAATATTATTAGAGTAGGTGTCCCAGATTCAATTTAATTTTATAATTGACCCTATTTTTGTATCATGTTTATCTGTTAATAGAAGACACTTTTTATATCTATTTTTCAAATTAACAAATACGTTATGATATGTGTCCTTAGAATGGTAGAACCATGATAAGGGGATCAAATGTGTTTTAAATATTGATTGTGAAGACCCTATGAGTTCACGAGGTGGCCATTCTAGAAACATCCATAGCCCTAATATTATTTTAACCAATGGTACAGATAATACAGTAAATGCTATCATAGCGTGAAATGACCCTGCCAAAAGGTAATGATAGATATCACATGTCAATGTTGTTTGATGATAATCTAGTGCAACGTATGAGTACTTATTGTATACAAGTTCACTAGACTGACCCACCAGATAATTCCATATACATGGTAACCCCAGTGTCTATGGAATAAATCTTCCAACGGATGGTAGTGCATGTAATCCTTAAACTTGAGATCACCAGAACGCATTGTATACCTATTGGTATAGTTTGACACTAGCCTAGCGTAGTCTTTCATTTAGGACTATTAGAAAGGTAGTGATTGACTACATTACATTGAGGCTATGGTGTATGAGAGATACACAGTTGGGTCAAATGGCAATGACTATAAATCTGTGACCACCGTGGGATTGAGTTGTCACTCAATCCAATTTAGTTCGATCGTTGATCCAATAATCAAACACCAATATATATCAAGGGAATATCTAAGGTAGACAATATTTTTATGCCTTAACCTTGATGAGATAACAGATGATTAAATAATTTGATTGCACAGTAACCATATTGTTGACAAGTATATGTCTTCCATTGACTCTTTGTCATTTGGGTGGCCATGATGCCTTGTTAGAGGAGGTCAACCTTGGTCTATGAATAGAGAGATGATTAATTATAGATTAATCACAATTCTATTCACTGTCAACATAACAAAGTACTTGACAGGCTTTTTGCAAGTGTACGAAATCGCACAAGTAATAAATCTCAAGTAACGAGTGTCGAATGCCAATAGAACTACTATTACCAAGTACCAAACTAACCTATTTTATTACTATTTGATTAATTAGATTCCCTAAGAAAGAGATACTAAAATTAAAACAAATTAAAAAGTAAACAGTAGCAGAATTTTTTTTAAAACTTTGGTTGAAAATAAATACGACTAAACCTAGGGCATAGATTTCACACCAATTTAATCCTATGCTTCGACAATTATTGCTAACCTAATTAAGCTTGTTCTAAAGGTCAAATTCCCTAGTATTTCACTAATTTTCTCTCAAACAATTACCAGATTAACCCTTAATCATCAACCCAAAATATCTATTCAGAAGTTAAAAGATCATTAAGTTTTATAGAATTTACGAGAGCCTCATAGATCGTGGTAACTTATCTCTAGCGTTCGTTCAATCTATGGTTTTATTACCTTAGACTAATTAGCTTTTATCTCTCGATCTCAACTTAACTTGTAAAATCATTCATCTCTCAGATCCATAAGAATTGAAAGCATTATGTGCAATAATTTTCTCTCGAACAATTACTGGATTAAACCTTAATCATCAATCCAAAATATCTCTAAAGTGGATTTAGAAGCTAAGAGATCATTAAGTTTTATGGAATTTACCAAAGCCTCATAGATCGCAGTAACCTATCTCTAGCGTTTGCTCAATCTATGGTTTTATTACCTTAGACTAATTACACTTTATCTCTCGATCTTAATCTAACCCATAAAATCATTCAACTCTCGGATCCATAAGAATTGATGAAAGCATTACGTGCAATAATAAAACTTTGAACAATGCTCAACTGAAATTAACAATAATAAAATCAATACATATTCATAAATTGGGCTACATCTTAGCCCTAGAAAATATATTTAGTTCATACTTTTCCTAAAAACAGCCATCATATTAAATAACATGAGTACAAGAAAGAAATAGAAAAACTTCTCTGATTGGTGAACCAAAACTCCAATAATTCTAATCTCCAAAGAGTGGCTAATCTTTTCTCTTTCCAATCTCCCTCTAAAAATAGCTAAAGACCTCTATTTATATCACTAGGTTTTAAGAATATAATTATGAGAAACTTTATTTAAAATAAAACAAGGAAATTCGGATTAGGATTAAAACAACCCATACTGGCCCAAGTGCTATCACTGCGGTGACAAAAATTGTTATTGCGGCGATCATTCTTTTCCTCCAACAAGCCTGATATCTTCAGAATTAGACAAATTCATTGACACAATAATTGTAGATCTCTCAATCAGCTTTCCAACACCACTATAATCATCCAATTCTGAGGTCTACAGCTTCAGTTATGGTCAAAATACTGAAGCACGTCACAAATCAAGAAAATTCCAAGATTCGAATCTCATCTTCAAAGCACCATAACTTTCTCGTTTCAACTTGGATTCTTGATTCGTTTGTTCGTAGCCATCATCGATTCAGTCGCCAACATTATGCTTCATTCGAATATCATTTATGACTTGAAAATACTCAAAATACACCTGTGATCCCATAAAAGGTATTTATGAAATAATTAACTCAAATTTCGCAATTTAAACTAATTTTCCCACAAATAATCTAAATAAATCACTAACTAAACATGTATTTTCAAGCTCTTACCACAACCCCCAATCAGCTTCTTGCGTCCCTAGCAAACTAAAGCGATAAAATATGTCTTTAAGCTTGAAAATAAAATAAACAACTAAAACTTATATCTAAACTATCCTAAATCACTTTCGTAGATTGACATGATTGCATTTAGTGCATGCAACAAGCTTTTCAATGCCTAGGTAGCCATAGTTGAATGAGTTGTAGTCTGATGAGGGTTTCCAGCGATGATACCCACAAACATTCACACTAAACCTATCCAAGACTCCATAAATAAAAACAAAGATTACTAAAATTCTTGGGTCAATTTATAGAGTCGTCTCAAAAATTGCACATACACATAAAAAAAAAATAGAATAATTAAAAGTCACCTAAGCTCAAGAACAATGCAAACATCAATTCCATTTTTGTTATCGACCGTAGAACATCCATACAACCACAAACCATTAGTCCAAAAACCCGGATGATTTTATGCATAACATTCACAAACAAAATTTTGATCTCTAGTATTCAGGTTATGACTCAAACATGAATCATGGAATCAAACTCCATAGGCTCACTTTTTAGACCACTCTTCACTAATGTAGAATTTCACACTACCTTGGATCAATAGGTCTTTGTAATGGTTGTAATGTTAAGCCAGAGTATGGGTTCATGAAAGAAGGGAAAAGATTTAAACAAAATAAAATTA